AATGCAGTCAACAATCCACATCAATGACTGAAATGGTACATATTCACAGAACTCCCTGGTGCTTCATGAAATTTGGAAGGAAAGGAAAAAGTAGTAGTAAAGAGATGGCCGAGACAATGAAAACAGTAATTTGTTTCCTGCTTCTAGATCAGTTGATAGCAATGGCCATTTGGTCCACCAGTAAGGTTCTAAGAATGTCCGCGATCTTATTTGGACGAACTTCATTCCGAGCGATATCTCAACCGGGTAAAAGGGTAATGCCCGAACACCCTCAGATTGTCCGAGATTTGTGGCTAAATTCTCGTATATTGCAAAGAGTGGATGATAAATTTATTCCCGTCAATACCAATTTGAATCCAATGCAACTTGAATTGACGGACGAGCTTGGTTTCGTAAGATGGAATGGAGGCACACTGAATAGCCCGGCCATTATAATGAACTAATAATAGGTGTAGCAAATTTTTGGTTCACCACACTTCACACAAAGAGCTTTGCAATCAGCTGACTTGATCGCCAATATTTTATCACGCAAACTTCTGCAAAGAGCTGCTGGGTTTCGGAGCATCCTCATTTCTCCCTTTTAATACAGCGAAAATTTGATGCAAACTGCAACACGAGAGAGGGGGAGGGAGAGAGTGGCGATATGCGGAACACCAGATTTGCGTTCAGGGAAACCAGCTATGCCAACAGTCACACACTGATCAAGCGTCCTTTAAGGAGATCATCTTTTACAGCCCTGCAGCGCCAACACAGCTTTGCACGTCTTAACCCACTGAGATGGCGGTGCTTCCACTCTGTTCTTACTACGGGCTAACAGCCTGTTTTCCTATTCGGCTATAGGAAATATACGAGGGAAGAAACCATTCAGTATTCTTATGAAAGTTTCCGGCTCTAAGTAAGAAGAATATACGCTTCCCAATAAGGTAATCAGTGCCAGCTACCTGAAGCGTAACGGAGCTTTTTTCATTCGATTCCGATTTGGCGGAATTCTAGAAGCTGGTAGGCCTCCGTGTTGCTCAGTTCGAACTTGTGGTAGACTTGTGGCTGTTGCAAAGACAATAACCATGTCAATCTCACTGCTTATTGATCCTTCACCATTTTTTCTCTACCCCTTTAGTCCGGTTTTTCTCAGCCCCAGTTTATCCCTATTAATTTCAAGTTATATTTAATCCCAATAAACAAATCAATTTCAACTTAAATTTAGGCCTAGTAACAAAAGCAATTTCAACCAAAGTTCCAAGCCCAATAATCAAACTAATTTTAACTTAAGCTAAATAATCATATCAACTTAATTAAAATGAGACCCAACAATTGCGTCAATTAAATTTCTTTTAAACTGAAATGAATGAAAAATGATAAAAAACTTCTAAGCTTTTATTAATTTTTAATTTTTGAAATATGGATTATCAAGTTATTATAACATCTTAAAAAAAACTAGAAATATTTATGACTGTCATACAAATAAAGTTTGAAATTAACACCGACTTATGAGACTTTAATGGTCCCATATGTTGTGATGATTATTAAAATGCTGATCAGATGCAAACAATTTCACCCCTTCACGATTATGAGAGAAAAATTTAATAGCAGAAATTATAAACATGTAGATCAACATATGAATACTTTGTTACACGTTTCTCCATCTCAGTTTAATATTGAATATATCATCTTTGATTAATTTCTCCCCTTAAGTCTATTTACATTTATATGTTTTCTTGAAAATTGTTTTATATCATCTAGTTCCTGCATGTTTAGCTTGAAACTAAAAAAGTATGGATCTAAGGATCATAGATTGTGAATTTCATTTGTCAGCCATAGAATGAATATGAATTTCAAGATTGTATTTCCATGAGTAACGTTCTAGGAAGTTTCTAAAGAATTTCATTGATAGAATGCAAAAGGAGTTTTCATTAAAAAAGGTTTGAATAGAGTCTAAATAGTTGGATAATAATTCTAAATTAAAAGTATTATCCCAATAAATTTTCATAATGCAAATACAGTTGCAAGAGTGTTGGAACAGTAAGATTGGGTTTCGAGGATTTTTTGATTTTTTGATTTATGCTCGACCAATGTGTATTTGATGTTGACTGTGTCAACAGGTGTAACTCGTTAGATCTCTCAACTTTCTCTCACCATGAGCTCTAGGATCAACTAGTTTGCTCATCACCCAGCAACTTCTAGTCGCAAAGGGAAATTCCCTCCAAGATTTACTAATTCCCTCAAAATTTACACACAGACATTCAACGGCTCAACATCCCAAGCACCTAAAGTTTGTCTCCTCAAAGACTCAGCCCCTCCAAGGTCAAATATGATTATCAACACTTCATGCCTTCACCCAAACCCTTCTTACATTAACACCCAATCACCTTAGGCCTAATGGAGAGTAAGAATGGTGTTGATTATTTCACCAAAATTAGCTGGAGAAGTGTATGTACCTTTCTTGCATGTCATTGATACATACAGCCAGAAGAGATTTATTGTATTGCATGAATCTTTATTTTTTTAATGAACCTCTAATACATAAAACTTCTTCCATAAGTCAGCCTTCTTCCTTTAATAGATTTCTGATTTTACCAGATCTCCTACGTTTGAGAACCTTGCTCGAAAACTTCTATTTTTCTGTGAAGCCCAATACTGATCTTTGAATCATCCAAGGTTTGAACATCCTCAATCTTTCTTCCTTTCTCGTTCAAATTTGAGCAAAAGTGTCCTAACTTGACAAAAAATAGTTGAATGCTGACGTTGGATCTGAATCACTTAGTTTACTTTTACCTTTTATCCATGTACATAGTGATGTGTCACTATCAAGATGTTCTGTTTGAAAGTTGAATATCTCTTTCATTTTCTCCTATTTTTGATGATTTAATGAAGTTGAGATCATAGGGAACCCCTCTATCATCATTATGAAACACTAATCATTACATAATATACGATAAATATTTATAATCAAACATAACAGAATTCGTATGCTTTGACTATACCAATTAATCATATACATATCATTTAATTTAAAATAATTCTTCAGACGATATCATTTATTGAATAAATGTTCATAACGTGAAGAATGAATTAATCTCAAGCACGGATAAATGTAAATATCATTTTTTATATTTATGGTTTGATCGTTAGTGATAAGCCTATATAATAGATCAAAATATTTTATATATTGACCACGTGAATGAATGTATCTAATGTTTGGGACATTTCTGTCCCATATACAAATAAATATAAATATTCAATGATAACTTCACTAATAACTTTTTTCATCATTATCAAAACCCTAGACATTAACAAAGAGGATTCAAATTGGATAGATGACTTTCTTCAATGGGTAACAAATGGCGAGATCCTTGGCTTGTTGCCCATTTTCCCTTTAGGTTTTTTCCTCTTCTCTACCGTCAGCATTTTACCTTTTGCTTTTTACTTTAGGCTTTTTGTCTTGCTTTTTTTAATTATCATACAATACTATAATCAGTTTGCTCGAATGTGAAAACTCAGTGCTGATAAGGAAGGATGAAATTCACTTCAAGATGAAGTGGTCTTCATGAACATAAAGCAACATGTATTCTGATAATACTCATCAGAATCAATATCATCTAAAACCAGCTGAAGTGTCAGCGTAGAATATTCACTTTCTAGGGTAGATGCATTCATCTGTTCTCATCTAGTCAAGTAAACAATATAGTGGTCACTCAAAATTAACTACTATGCAATTTACCAATTTTTTATTTTTTTCACTAAAATGGAACATAAAAATGAAAAATAAAAAAATTAGTATTATTAAGAGATCATATCATAGTAAGAAAAAACATACTTTTGAGAATGAATCATCATAGATCAAAGTTGAAGATTCTTATTTCATTTCATCAAGAGTTGGACCCATTCTAAAAATAGCAGTAGAGTAAAGAAAATATCATCTAACTAATTCCTTAAATGAATTATATACATTTCAAAGTCAGTTATATGATCATGGTCTTGAATAAATGTCTCATCCTTCAGGTATTTAACTTGTAGTTCATGAAAGAAATGTTACTCAGTCATCATTCTTATGTCAAGTTCTTTATACATCTTCATATTTATTAATTCAAAAATAATATAATTTAATGATTCATATGAGATAGTCATTTTCCTTCCTAAGATTTGATGTGTCAATACACTGCTTAAAAACTTATCATAAATTAAACAAAAGTTAAAATTCTCATAACATGGACAAGGTAAAAAGTTTTACTGAACTGGTTGAAATTGTTAACTATAGATTTATTAGCTGTTGGTTCATTCACACGTTACCAGTGAGTTACTTGTAATTGATTGTGGTTTCCCCATATGAGGAGCCATAGAAGTGTCCTGTAAGCTATAAATTATGAAAAATTGCGATGACCTTTTCACACATGATTGCCAGTCTGTGTTAGGGGGATAAAAAAACCAGAACTTCTCTTTTAACTCTGAAAGAAGGCCTTAACTGACCTATGAGCAACTGTTTACATGCGACCATTGTGGCCAAATTGAAGCCTTTTTGAGCAATATGTATATGAAACAAAAATTAATATGAGTTTATTTTGGATACCTTATGGTGTCGACAAAAATAATTGACCTAATTACTGGCGTATTTGGTGATACCGTATGCAGATGCTATGATTTTTATCATTTCGAACCTGTGAGTTAGTAGAAAACAAAAATTACCCGTTAAAGAAAACTGTAGTTAAACAGTGGATATGAAGTACGATGTGTCTGTGTTTTGCATAAGTTGTGACTAAGTAGTTACAGCTCGCTGGACGTTATGAAAGAGAGTCGAAAGTTGCAACTGATGAGAAAAAATCACAATATCTCTTTTTGACTGTCCCGACATGGCCTCAACCTTTCAACGGCGTAAGGACACCCACAGACCCAATCTCCAAGCCTAACTTCCGGATTAGCCAAGAAGGGACACGGATAATGGTGGAACTTTCCGGGAGGCTGTTTCTGCTTCGCCGCACCTGCCCGCATCCATGCTCAGCTTCTGTATGCATATGTGGGCATCAGAAAGAGAGAGAGAGAGAGAGAGAGAGAGAGAGAGAGAGAGAGAGAGGGAGAGAGAGAGAGAGACAGACAGACAGAGAGGGAGCGTGGGAGAGAAAACGAGAGACACCGCTAATATCCGCGCTTCGATCATAGCACGAGATGATTATATACGGCACAGTCAGTAGGATGCCTCGATCGTACGGTCCAAGGTCCGCTCTTATCTCATACAATGGTATTCGTTTATCCACTCGATAATCATACAATGTTGAAGCATTTCTTGGAATTGAAATATCCTACTGGAGAAAATATGAAGGGACTTCACTTATCCGAACCGAACGTTAGCGGCTTAAGCTAAGCCTATCACGAGCAGCGTCGCTGCCTGCATCCCTACTCACCTGGTCCATGCACATTGCTCTCTTCAGAAGATTGGCCGCCTATCCTAGATCTTCCCATTTCCAAGAAGATCCCGGGGTCGATCCGGTTTAGTATCAAGGTGATTCTCTTTCTGTTCCTATATATATGGGTCCGTGCAGCAATGTTTATCTCCCAACACAAATATATCATGGACCTTTTGAAGGAGACAAACATAAGTAGTTGTGGACCATCTAATACTCCCATGGATGCCAATATAAAACCTGGAAATGTGGAAGAATCCAATAGAGTAGACCAAGAGATTTATTAATGGTTGACTAGATGATTAATCTACATTTCATACGCACAATCGAACATTGTCAATTTATGCATAACCCTAAGTAAACAACTGTGACGGCGGCCAGGGGCAAGCTGCGACTTTGGCTTCAAAACGTTTTTTTCTCGTTACTGTTCATCTGTATCCAACAAAGGTTCTGCCCTGGGATTCATGACGACTGTCAGGAAGTTTGCTAACTTAACTTTAGTTTCTGCGAGATAATGGAATTTCCATTGTGTCTTCTCTTGTATCTTCTTCCATCGCCATCACACCTATATCTGCATGTTATTGCAATAAATCGTTCGCAGCTCCATTATAATTTTTCATGTAATGGGATCTTCTTTCCTTTCTGAATCGAAAGAAATAATTACGCACTATATTTAATGCTCCTTTTTTATTTCGAAACTAAATGATTTCTCGGGTTCAGCAATCCGCGAGAAGAAGAATCAACTAGACTGCATTTCAGTTTGCCGACTATAAGTTGTGGTAAGGGACAATTGGTGTCACTTGAATGATGCAAACAAATCTTGGTGTCCTTTCACGAATCAAAAGTTGCTCAATAAACCAACTCAACTAGTGTAATCGTTGATGAATAGAAAGATAGGACTACGTTGTGGAGGCCACCAAAGAAGGAATAGCAACTGTGGTTGCTGGCTTGGTCACCATGGTAGTGCCTGTTTCCAATCGACGTGTTGAATACATTTAACTTAAACTGGCTGTACATTTTTTATCTCTCAGAAAATTTGCTGATCCAGTCAAATTTCGATGGACTAGAACGAAAGTTTGTATAGGAGTGAACACCTCAAACTTGAATAAGAGGTAGACGTAATTATTTCTTCCATTCATTTATTATTACTGGCCAAGCAGTACACATAGAGTGCGCAACGTACAACTTTATACTGCCCTTTTGATTCAGTTGCCCGAACAGTAGCCGAAACCGCCGTTTATTGTGGAATCTTCAGTACACACACTGTTGCGAAGAAGGGCACGCTCAACAGATCATTCGAATGCTCTTGAAGTCGTTAGGTCCACACTTGCGGGTCTCTTTCTTCAGATCATAGGGAGTGCCCTTGCACTGAGATTTTGTGTAAAGCCTGGCTGCTTGGCCTTGCGTGAATACGAAATGGAAGCCTGAGTGGTAGGCGCTGATGTCGAAGCACCCACAGCCATTGATGTCTTTTGTTTTCCCGGCGCATGCAGGCCCGGAGAAGGCCGTTAGAGTGCTCGCCGACGCCAATTCAACGGCGGCGGCTGCGATGAGCAGGAGAAGAACAGCGGCGGCCGGGGTGGCGAGAGTTCTCTTGGTGTTTGCCATAACTTCTTCTGGGCCTGCGTGAGAGTTGTCAAGAACAAGAAGGATTTGGCAATGGCTTGCTAGTTTTGCCGCTGTCTCTATTTATAGGAGTATCGAAGGTAAAGGAGGTGATCTCGGAAGTTGAGTTCCATACGGCTCTTCCAAAATTACGTTGGCAGCATTACGTGATATAAGCCAGTTCCCCTACGCGATTTAGAAAACCATACACATCTTCTAAGACGCGTGATGACGGGGAGCGGTCAATTTTTTATTCTCTGGCCTACTGGTTGTCATTTGACTGATTAATCGATTCAGGAATAGATCCCCATGTCTTGCTGTTTCACAACGTCTCCATCAGCAGCTTTACCTGTACTCGGCTATATGAAGGCATGACTGCGTGCTGAAATCTGATTCCCCCCGCTTGGCCTAGGCTCATCCGGTCACGCAGTTTCGTGTTACGGTTGGAGGACTGGGTTTCTCCTGATTGTCCGCTGATCAAGCTACGAGCATACAGCTTCATTTGATCAATTATTATTTTACCGCCGTCTTAAACTATTTACAGCGGACAATGTATAATTATTTCGTCGATGTGCGGTCCCCAGATCTCGCGGCAAAGCCAATTCAATTTATCCAATTAGAAAATTGTGGGTGCGGATGAAGGGGGATGAGGATGGCTACGTGATCCATCTAGTCGCTTACTTGTGGCTTTATTCTTTATCAACTAAGTAAATTCCACTGATCCCTGACGGGTTCCCTTGGAACTTGACCATTTCTCGCCCCGGCAACGAATGTGCCGGTGTTGACGACATCCATGGATACTAGACATTGAAAAACCGATTTTCTGACTATCTTGAGATTTATTTACCCTCGTAATCCCCAGGACGCCAGTCATTTGCTCCTTTGAGGGCCCACCCCAACGATCTAAAATAACCGACGGTGCACTGAACGCACGCAGGTCCCGAAGCGGCCACTGCTGCTCTACCTGATGGTATCATATCTCTGCTCCAATATGGGTGCTCCAATGAGTAAAGTGTTTTTCTTCAATTTTTGGCCGGTCTAGAAGACTACTTCGTTTGGGTTCTACCAAATCCCTAATGATACGATGGAACGTACTCGCGCTCGTCCGTTGAAGGTGAAAGATGGTTTGTTTTAAGGAATAATACAGGTTCTCCCGAAGAATTTATCAAATGTGTCGGTCTCAATTTGGTAGGTCCCGTTGACCTGCTCATCTGGTTCCATGGCCAGAACCTTATCCACACAACAAGTTTTAAATAAGGATAAGGACGGTATTGACGTGATGCCTTACGCCTGCGAATTAAGGCATATTCTAAGGTTATTCTCTTCGAAATTAAAATCTCACCTATTAACGCAGCAGCTTATTCTAGTGATAGTTGTTGCACCATCGTTCTCACACTACCGTTGATTCGCAACGGTAACTTTCATCATCCTATAAGCAAGAAGACAGTTCTCGCAGTAGTTGTTGACGTTATCGTCCGTTTAAATATTATGGAACTGTGAAAAATCCTCTATTCACCTATTGATCATCTTCGCTGCTTAAAGGCTTATCAACTGGGTAATTCGTAAATTTGCACGGGGACGTGACGAACGTACCCTCTTAAGCTTCTAGGGAAGCCACTGACGCCTCATGTGATCCGCATTCGGCATCATGCTACAGGGTGGAATCGAAGGCGGAGTGCGTAGAGTGACAAAAAACTCCTCACGCTTTGTTTGACGATGTCTGGGGGACGCGTTAGACGGCCTTCGTGGATATTCCCATATTATCTTTGCCCTTAATGGTGTGAAGCAACCACCGTTCGCGCACTTGGACTTCAGAAAAAAGGGCAGGTTCGTGACTACCTTGCTGATCTCATGTGGTTCCGCGCGTGAAACCTTCAGGAAAGGCCAGAAACGGGGCTTACATTAAATTAATCACCTTACATCATTTTTTAAGCTGGTCAGATCCTTATCCAGGAGCGTTTTTCTTCAATGGCCCAGAGACGTGGCTTACTTCTTGGCTCGCGCCCCTTGGAAACGAACCGCTCACCAACTTCCTCCAGTCAGGTGGTGCATTAAATGGGAAGTGAGATCTGTCTAGTTTAGCATCGCACCACGAAAACTATTGATTTCGTCCTAATCTTCTAACTGCTTCAAAGCAAGCCATAATCGAAGTAACTCAAGATTTTCTTTTTCAATCTCGTCGACAATATCATCCGTGAAACGACAGGCAGCTAACTACCACTTAACCTTCGGATCCCAATCCCACGAGTACAGTTAGTACGTTGGACACGAGCGGCAAATGTTATCCTCGTCTACCCATGTGTCACTCACACCTACGCCAAACGATGCTACTCGCAGGGTAGTTTTCCCGTATAAACTGTCTATTGTTCTACAGTATCTTATTCAGCGGATACTATGCGTATCTACATGCAATTTTGTGTTCCTCCTCCTTACGACGTTAGTGGGCACAATTCTCAGAAGATCGTCATCAATTTTAGGGAAGAAATGCTGGATGGTTGATCGACATAAAGCTAGAAAATGACGACGTTGTTGTGGAGGATTGGTTTTATCGGCGGGCTGCTCCCAGATTTTCTGTTCCCGCGCTCTACATAATTTTCGACTGACTCTAAATCATACCAACATCACGTGATAATTTTCGACTGACACTAAATCATACCAACATCACGTGGCTTCCCCGACGGTAGTTTCATAAAGCGGAGATGCGGAGGATGGTAGGTTATTTTTGCATTGGCTACTGCCATTCGACGGTAGTTCTTGGGACATGTAACAATACCCCAAAATCCCAAAGATTCTTCAGTATCTAGATTTTACGTTTATGAACCTTAGAAATTAGGTTTCTGCTCACGTATTAGCCCTCAACAAATCTCACCGTTTAAGGGTTCTGTTAGATTTTAAACATTTTAGGGTATCCATGAAATGAAAGTCACCTAAATCGTGAGACTTGAGTCAGAAGGAAGTTGATCACTCAACAAGTCTTCAGTTTCTCTTACTTGTCATTGACTGACGTTCGTGTCGACTTAAGATTGTTAGGTTATTCGAGAACTAGACGCGTCCCATTAAGCTTAAACAGCTCGGAGTCCTGCTCATAGTGTTTTTAACATCAGACGGCATTTGTTCCTTAGCGTGAGGATGCAGTGAACATTTCATTGAACTAATTTAGTGAACTGAGGAGAAGTACGCTTGGGGTCCCCCTTCATCTCAGATGAAAGCTATGCCGTTAGCTTACTGAAGCTTGCCTGGATACCAATTCGGATTACTGGTCTGTAGCCGGCAAAGAAGAGACGCCACCTCGAAGTGTGCTGTAACCCATGCCCTCTAAAGTGCACCTTCGAAGTACGCTTGGGGTCCACCTTCATCTCAGATGAAAGCTATGCCGTTAGCTTGTTGAAGCTTGCCTGGAGACCGAAGTTCCTCGAAAGATGTATTCTGAAATGTGCATGTAAGATCAACAACATCAAGTGCATCCACAGGATGGAGTCGAGTTATCAACAACAGGTACAGAAGAGTTAAAATGACATAAAACAGGTACAAGCATAGAAAGACTCCAAAATTTTGCCATTCGTTTTTAATTGGGATGTAATGATTCGCGCTTTTGGAGGATCATTGATTTCCCTTAAATGTAATCATGAGCAATAAGCTTATTGTAGGGAAAATTTGTTCGCTTGGTACGTTCGTAAAGGAT